TATTTTAATAAAATAAGACTGTGATTGGGGATTTTGTTACAAATTCAAATAATCGAAAGACCATGAAATTGTGTGGGGATAAATTCTGTTTTAAAAATTAGATTTTTCGGTGACCTAAATCCAATACATTCCATGATTTTTTTTTTGTTGTTAAAAATAGTCAAAATCATGACAAATTTTGTTCAATACCGAAATTCATGACTTTTCAGGTGGGAAATTCTTTTAATGCAATCTGATTTAGACGACAGCTTACATTCCGTTCATTATGAGCCACAAGACATCCCCACGAGAAGAAAAATATTCATCATACGAATTAGAAGTTTAAGCTATAGTGCAAGCACTTAAAGAATTTCGTCATTACCACGTAGGCACCAAGTTCAAAATTTTCAGATGGCCGAGTTTTCCAAAAGACTATATCAAAAAAAGAACTGCCACCTAAAATTGCTAGATGGGCAATGTACTAGATTTCGACTACGAAATAATACACAGACCAGGAAAACAGATGAAGCATGTCGACGCTCTTAGCCGATATCCTGTCATGACAATCCAAGTTGAAGAAACAACCCAGAAAATCTGCCATGCTCAAGTCAAAGATGAATACACACAAGGCATAAGACAACTAATCGAACGAACACTTTCCAACTACAGACTACAAGTAAAAAAACAACATCCTATACAGAGTAGTAAACAATCAAGAACTCTTAGTCATACCTCAAGATATGCAAAAACAAATAGTTCAACTACAACACAACAAAGGTCATTTTGGTACCAACAAGACAGAAGACATGGTTAAACAACAATTTTGGTCCCCAAATATAAGAAAGACAGTTGAAAACGTAATTTCCAATTGCATTCCATGTATACTTTCATCACGTAAAGTAGGAAAACAAGGTTTCTTACATCCCATCCCAAAAGGAGACATTCCTCTAGATCAGTGTTCCCCAACCCACGGACCGGTACCGAGCCGCACATTTCATTGAAACTGAATTTAAATACCTAGGTTTACCAACATTAAAATATCAGTGTTCCATTATCTTATTTATTTTTAAAAAAAGGGCTCTCGAAGGTAGTGACATAAATTTTTTAACGTTTTAAAACGATTACCCCTAGTTGGAACCATCTCATTCCAAAGAAACAAGCTCAGAGTTCCCATTAATTTATTTTTCTAGTAAATTAAAATGTTAAATCACTTTATATTTATTTTTTGGTGCAACTGTATTTTATTTTGAGGACATGTTTAAATACAATTAAATTAAAAAATCTAAACAATCAACGTCCACATCCCCTCCTACGGGCCGCGGTAAAATTATCAAACGTTAACAGGTCCGCAGTGATAAAAAGGTAGGGGAACACTGCTCTAGATCACCAAACTTTTTTGATCATCGACCCCTTAATTTTTCGAAATCTCCATCGACCCCCATAAAAAGTAATTTTCTGTTAATTAAAATAAAACTCTATTAGATACTGTGTTTGTACATTTATTTTGATTTTAAACATTTATTAAAGTAATAGTACATTGTGTAACAATAGTTTTATGTAATAAGTAAAGTAACTACAAATTTTATAATAAGTAAAGTAACTACAGATTTATCGCTTCTTAATCAATGAGATGGGTGTGCCTGGTGTTTTTTTGCAAGGTTCGCTATATTGGGTTCAAAATTGGTCAATTTTAATCTTAAATCCCCTCGAAACTCCACATTTAATTAATTTCTGTACATAGTTAAGATTGAATTTACGTGACTGAAACCGGCTTCAACCATATAGGAACTTGGAAATGCTAGCATATATGGCTGAGCTATTTCATAAAGTTTTACATATTTTCTCATTATATTTATATTTGTTCAAAATTTGCTTATTGTTAAATTTTCAAGAAGCGTCTTTGCTTCAAGATTCGATAATAATTCAGCAAGCTCATCTTGCAAGTTGATGTCCACGTTTTCAATTTGAGCAGAAAATAGCGCAATAATCCAATCAGGGATGTCAATGTTTTCTAAATCAACAAAGCGCAGTTTAAAATCGTCGCTCAATTTTTGAAGATGATCAGCATATATTTCCTAGTCTTCTTTTATTCCATCTGTCGCAGATTTGAGAAATACCGATAATCCTTAAGTAGCAATGAAAATCTAAATAAATTTAATTTTACTTGAAAGCCTAACTGTATTGTTCGAGCTTCGATAATTGTTACATCTTTTCCTTGCAGCTTTGGTTGCGCTAAATAAAAAATATGGTTCTTATTGTTTTGGAGTTTATCACTCAGAACAGGGTTTATTTCGCTGAAAAATTAGGTCGTGGAGTCATAACTCAACGAGCCTTTGCAAGTGTGCACCCCTAGACAACCATCTAACTTCGGTGTGCAGAAGTAATTGGTTAAATAACTCGTCGTTTTCTACACGAAGTTTGGAAAATATTCTTGATTTAAGAGGTTGGGCTTTAATTTGATCGATACACTTAATACAAAACTGTAAAGCTTTAGGTAACTCTGGACTCCGATATTTTGCTACTAAGTTGTTCCTATGCAACACACAATGAATAGTACGTATACTGGACACTTTTTCTTTGAGAAATGTACCATCTGTGGCTACCGCTATTATAATTTCAAGCGGAACATCATATTTATTTATTTAAATATTCTTGTAAACATCTAAAAATTGTCTCTCCTTCTCCATCAGTTTCAAAATATTTAGCAAACAAAAATTAATCAATGACTTGTCCTTTAATTTTACTGAAATATCTAACGTGCAACATAAGAATAGCAGAAACGCCAAAAACAGATTCATCAAGTTGAATAGAGAACTTGATGAATCGAATAGAGAGAATACGTAAATACTTGTTTCACCCCAATATATACGTTTATGTTCTATAAAGAAATTGATATTAACTCAATTAAGTATGTGTGATTTGCGTATTAAGAACAGATCGACCCCCGCTTTTGTTAAATAGGCCACTTTGGCGACCTTTGCTCTAGATACATACCACATAGACTTTCTTGGTCCCCTACCCAGTACAAATACATTTACACCGTCGTATTTGCTTTCACCAAATTCTTATGGATTTATCCAGTCAAATAAACATCAGCTAAAGATGCCTTGGATAAACTACAACTGCAACAAATTACTTTTGGAAATCTAAGAATCATCATCTCAGATAAAGAATTCACCTCAATAGAATTCAAGAAGTACTGTGCAGACGAACAAATTGATCATGTCACAATCACCACAGGTCAACCTCGAGGGAATGGATAAGTGGAAAAATTTCATGGTACGATAATCCCAGTCATCACCAAGTAATCCCTTGACAACCCCAGCAAATGGTTCAAGCATGTACCAGCAGTCCAACGTGTAATCAACAGCACTGTTTCTTCAACAACAAAGTTTACACCCTTCGAGCTCTTAACAGGAGTTAAGATGAGAAATAAAGACCCTGTACATCAAGAAAATCCTCGAGGAAGAGCACATACATATTTTACTTAAAAATCAACAAATGCGAAAAGAAGCAAAAAGCAATATACTTGAGATGCAAGAAAAAACCAAGCACAATTATAATACTAGACGAAAGACAGCAACGAAGTATAAGCTCCACGACAGAGTTGTCATCAAACGAACCCGATTTGGGACAAACTACGACCAAAATTTTTCGGTCCATACAGTGACAAAAATTAGACCCAACGATAGATATGTTCACAAGATCGGTATAGGATGAGGACCAACTGTCACATTCACATCAGCCGACTTGATGAAACCGCGGGAAGATCCATAAACTTTTTCCTTTTTTTTTTTTCATATGAACTTTTCAATTGTGCAAGAGCTTTTACACAGACTTTAGATTTTTTTAAAAAAATTTATGATTTNCAAGCACAATTATAATACTAGACGAAAGACAGCAACGAAGTATAAGCTCCACGACAGAGTTGCCATCAAACGAACCCAATTCGGGACAGGTTTGAAACTACGACCAAAATTTTTCGGTCCATACAGTGACAAAAATTAGACCCAACGATAGATATGATGTTCACAAGATCGGTATAGGAGAAGGACCAACTGTCACATCCACATCAGCCGACTTGATGAAACCGCGGGAAGATCCATAAACTTTTTCCTTTTTCATATGAACTTTTCAATTGTGCAAGAGCTTTTACACAGACTTTCGATTTTTTTAAAAAAATTTATGATTTTCATTTCCGATTTTATTGCATAAATCAAATATTAAATGAACATATTTAACTGGATATTAATAACAAATTTCTATTTTAATGATCGAAATATTCATATTAATCGTATTTTTTAGAAGTGAGATAAAAAAAAAATTTTGGATTTGAAAATATTTTTTTATTACTTATTCAGGATATGTTTTGGTTTTTGCTAGTTTTATAGGTTGAAGAGAAATTCATTTGCTTAATAATTTTAAAAAGTGCATCTTCATTTTATTTAAAGGAAAAAAAGTCAACTATATATTAAAATTGAATATATTTAGAATTAGTTTAGATTTAAATTTTCATAAATATATTGTTTTATATTTCAATTCAATTGTCAAAATATTTCTGTCATCAATATTTTCTTTTTATTGTGATGTTTAAAGCAATTAGACGGAGACCGACTAAGTCAGGAAGACAGTGTTCCATACATGTACTTCAGCCAGCAAAGCCCTCTATGGGTTGCTATTTCAACTCTCTCTTGCCACCAAATTTTCCCCGCTCTTTCTGAGAGTCTGAGAGAAGACGAATATTCAGCTAAATCAATATTAGTTACTTTCCTGATCTCAATGTTCCTTGGTTAATACTAATGGTTACAAAATTTATAAATAAAAACCAACTATGCTTTAGAATTTTGAGGGTGTTTCAGGAATTATTTTAATTAGTTTTTGCAAAAGCATGGGAGTGGTGGTTACTTTCTGTGAGTGTAACCAAAACATGCTTCATGCTTACCTAATATTGTGGACACCAAACTTACTTCTGAATAATATTAGAAACACATTATATTATTAAAAAAAAGAGACAAAGAGACTTTTTTTTTTAACTAGAATAATTTAATTCCTCATAGAAAACATAGAACATATGAGGAGTTCAATGTGGCTTACAGGCCATGTATAGGGTTGCAGCTGAATACAAATATTGTAGAGGTTTTGTTGTAGCTATGATTAACAATTGCTGCTGCTGCCAGTTATATTTCTATGGTGGAAAAAAGGCAGAATTCCCCAAGTTGTTGAACTGTTGAGCTCCTCTAGTTAATTAACAGGAATAAAAATAAAAAAAAACACTGACCATTAAATACATAAGTAAATTGTGAAGTACTTCATTGCGAGGTTCCTCTAGGCTATGGGGATACACATTTAATTTACTGCAGCCTTCACAAATCCATTAATGTTTAAGGGGGAAATTAACTATTACTCAAGAGTTCTACAGATCTTCACAAATTTTTAACAGATGTTTTTTTTTTCCAGTAAAATTGTAATATTGTGGTTAAGCTATGAAAAATATAACAATTGGATATATTGAAAATATTCTAATATCAAAGTACAATGTTGTTTGATTTTATAGCCATTATTTAAAGTTTGGTTTATATTTCCCCCCGTTCACACTAGGGTTTCCTCACAGTGTTAAAAACTTTTAACTATAACATGCATTGCAAAATATTAATAGTAAATACCACTAACACTGTCAATTTTTACACCTGCAGTGAGTATACACAGTTTTTTTTTAATACCTATTCTCTATTACATGTAAATATTAGCCAGGCAAAAAGGGTAAAAGTAAAAAACAACTAAGTCGCTAAGATTAAATACTTTCGTATTAAAATAAAGTACAATGCATTTATCTAAAGAAACAGGAAGAGCAACATGGCAATCATCCCCTTTCACAAAACAAAAACTTCACAATCCACTGAATAAAAATTCAACGACACAAAAATCACTTTGCGGGACGATTGCTTACAAAATATTGGAACAAACTTAAAAAATTACCACATTACATTAGTAAGTAGGTAGTCTCCCTGTTCCGAAAAAACACATTGAGGAAATAAACTAAATTACTTAAATGCATATAACTGAAAAGAATCAATTTTCAAAAAGAGTACATAAGTAAAACATTCAATAAGTTTAAGTTAACTACATTCCATGCATCAGAAATACACCTTAACTGATCATTAAGATAGGGAACATTAAATAAAATAAGAAAGAATTATATAATAAAAAAAAATAAAGAACATGCATAATATGAAGAAAAAAAACTACAGAATCATCATTTTATAGATATTCAATACATAAATGTACTTTTAGTACAGAATTGTTTGAGATCTGTAGTTAAGTTCGATTTCTACCAAGACTGCAATAAGTGGGATACATATTTATGCCCATACCATTATGTTTTTTTCTTTTCTTTCTTTTTTAAAGTAAATAAGCAGTCTAAAGTCGTTGAAGAAGAGTAGTTGAAAAAAAAACATAGAAGTCGCTAAAAAAATCTCTTGCTACAACTTGCAGAGAAATTCTTTTAAGGGTTTGCTTATTATTATGCTAAGTCAGCAGCATATATGTTGTGTATATAATATAGTATGTATATATATAGTCAAGGCAAATCCATAAGGATTGCATATCATTTGTACTTCAGAGTGAAAAGTCACTGGTAGTTTGTCAAAGTTGAAAAATATATAGCATCTATTAACTCGTGAATAATATTTCTATGGGCCTTTTTTTCCATCTTCGAAAATAACAGTTTTTTTTTTTAACAGGTAGAAAAATAGAGTAAAATTTGTTTACATTTTGTTCATGAAAAAAAAAATAAAGATAAAATGCTGAAGTACAAAAACTTTTAAAAACTAGCTTTAAAATTTAAAAAAGAATTGTGTAGTAGTAACACTAATATAGGAATAATACTTCAAACAAAAGGTCCCTCAAATTATTATTCCGAATGCTGCTATTTCAAGACATGAACGCTAAATCGTAGTTCGGGAGTTATAAGCGTTTCTGATGGGTGTGTCACTTTAATAATCAAGATAATTATCAATCAAGATGTTCAACTGTGCAATTCTAGCAACAACAAAAAAAAAGCTAGAAAATTCATTTTTTTTTTTGGATAGGACACTAAATTTCTTTTCTGGATAAATAATTTTGAAATAATTGCACAGTCTAAAAAATGTTCAATTTCAAATCAGATTTAAGTTGTCATAAAAGTGGGGGTTTAATTAATTCCATTTTTATTTGCCCTAATGTGCCACAGCCAGTATTGTATATTTTCTTGCATATATATTTATATGTATGTATGTCTGACCTACTTTGATACCATGTTTGAGGGTGAGTATAAGTTTTATGGGGATAAAATAACCAGCAAAATATATATCACATTCCCGCATGGAAAGTAAAAAAAAAATAAAAATAGATACATTAGTTATGTTTAAGCTTTGTTTGGTTTACCATTGCAATCTTCGGTTTATTACAAAGTTTTAAAGCAATAAATCCCCTATTGTGAAAGAGACCTTTTGCATATTAAAATGGTGACAATGCATGCATGTGTAGAATAAGCTTTTTTTTATAATTACATTTATAGTTTTTTACGAGGGCTCGTACAGAATCGGAATGGTGGGATATTGTGGGAGAGCCTCAGACAATGCTTATTGGAGAAACAGAAAAATCACATATGTTGAAAAATCAAAATATTTTTAGAACAGCAGTTTATAATTTTTTTTTTTTTTTTAATCATTTCCTTTAGCCACATTTTTACTCCTTGGCAAAAAAAATGCCCATCATAAAAATTGACAACAAAAAAAAGTTTCTCCAACAAGTATCAAAAATAAACTTTCAATAACATCACAAAGACCATGATATATCAACAATAATGGTCCATGTTTTGTACTAACTAAACAACTTTGCATTTTACATTCCTACTTACAAAAATTTTAAATGCTTTATCTTACACATATTAACACATTATGCTCCATTCCTGAGAGATTAACAGCCCTTCTCATTAACAATCCCCAGATCTCAATTTGCAGTAGTTCCGTCGAAGATCTCGGGATTGTCGGCGTCGAGGCGATATGTTACGGTGGAAACCAAACAAAGCGACGCCCCCAAACCCACGGCCACCCTGTAAAGAAGATGAGATGAGGTGGCAAGTTGGTCTTTGGTATCTTGAAGGTCATGGTGTGGCGGGGCTTGGGGGCTCAGGCTAGTTCACAGGCATTTGACGTTGGTTAGGAGGCAGTCCTCCGGGAGGTCGTCTAAGGCCAGCCATTTGACTTTTGCTAACCAATGCTCGGATTTGGCGTTGAGCAGCCTACAAGATAAATCAAAATTTATACTTACAGTTCAAAATTTTCGGTTTTAAATTGCACATATTTTGCAGCATTTATTTAGGTATTCATTTACTTCAAACTTCTTCAACTGTGCTGATTAGGAATAATTTAATTGGTCTACTCAAAAACTGTCTGCTAATTTCGTAATAAATTTAATGATAGGCAAGGCACCCAGTTTGACCTTTGAATAAAAAAATTTCTGCCCTACAAGTCTGTATATGTGCCCCGACATATTAAAGAGGGTAATGGCCTAATCGCACGGATTTTTTGGTTAATTCACGTGGTTTCCTGATAGTTTTTTGATAGAAGTAAATAGTGTTTTGGCCGGAATTAATCCCCCCTGGGACGCTTTCCAATGGTCTTTCAAATTTTAATATATTTAATTCCTTATTACGACATGCATTTTTTTAACTATCACTTTTAAGAAGTGTTCGATATTTTTGACAATTCCATCGGGATTTCACGTAGCGAGATCATAATTTTTTTCACATGCTATTTATCATTTTTCGACACTTACACATTGTTTTTTAAATTTCAAAATTTTTAATACGATGTTCAAAATTCAAATTTGAGTTATCACTATTTCATGCACTCGATAAATGATGATTCTATCAAAATTTCTCATTATATGATAGGTTTTTCATATCCTTTTATCGGCCCTTTCCACATGATTTTTCAAATTCAATACTTTTAATACGATGGGATGTTCGATGTTAAATTATCACTATTTAATACGCTCAATTCGTGATGATTCCATCTTAATTTCATGTTGTATGGTGATCATTTTTTCATATACTAATTTTTTCCACATGGATTTTAAATGTTTTTTCTTCTTCTTTTTTTTTTAAATACAATGTTGCGGTGTACTAATTTCGAATATGCGTTATTGCTATTTAATAAGTTCGATTCAAAACTATTCTATCTCAATTTCAAACGTTTGATGATGGCTTTTACAGAAGTTAATTTTTTTGGCCATTTCTTTACATAGTTTTCAAAAATAGATATATTTGATACGAAGTTCGAAATTCAAACTTGAGTTATTACTATTTGATCTATTCTGCTAGTAATGATTTTATCACAATTTCACGCCTTTTTCAAAAGATTTTTCGGCAGTTATTTATCATTTTATCGGCCCCTTTCATATGATTCTTCAGAATTTCGATATTTTTAATAAGATTAAATTACGACGTTAGATGCCTGAGGATTCAATTATAATTTCCTACCATCGGACGATATTAGGTCGTTCAGAAAGTTTGTGGCGATGTATAATTCTCGATAATGTATCGGCATGAACTTTCTAGAAAACCTATTAGTTGTTTCGGAAGTTATTTATAACTTTATCAGTCTTTTGCATATGGTTTTTATATTTTTTCTGATATTTTTATAAGATTTAATACGATGTTTAAATTTCGAAACTGAGTTATCTTATTATTTTTTTTAAAGAATTCCACCATAATTGTTGTCGTTTCCAGCAATATCCAGTGGTTCTTTTCTTATTGATAATTTATATACGATGTTATTACGACAAGCGAGTTTTTCGATGCGCAAATAATAGAAAAAGCTTAAAAATACACAACAAAAGTATTCCTTTGAATTTCAAGCAATATTAATATTTTTATTTAAATGAACAGAATTTTGGTACCAAGTATTGTACATTGTCAGATTATTCTCATTTATGTTTCATCTTTCATCACTTAATACATTTTTATACTTAGAAAACGATCTTTCTTCGTCAACGTTGTTTTTAGGCACCGACAAACATCGAATTGCCACTTTTGGAGAGTTCGGTCTTTAGTTTCTAAAACTCGATCAATTTTCCTTCACCAAAGCACAATTCCTTCACCGTTGCTTTGTAAGAAGTAATTGCTGTGAAAACTCAAACATTCTACATTCAAACTACTAGTTACAAGTCCCTACTAACTACTAGTCCCCCCCCCCTCTCGTCTAAGAAACTGATCCATATTTAAGAAATCACAAGCTGCCTAGGAAAAATTAACTGGATATGTAGAAAGGCAGTAGAAATTTCATTGGCCAGTGCAATAGCATGTATAACAATTTTTCTGTCAAAGATTTGATTTATAACATTTTCCTTCTTTTGTGATTCCAATTTCTTTTGTACTCTAACTGACTTCAGGAAGGTAATTACCCTCCCTAAGTGTAGAAAGACCACCTTACTTGACAAGATTGTGATTATCTCTTATCTCTGAACTATTTTCATGTCAATTTGCCATTGATTCACTCCCCTAAATATCTTATCAATTTTACATGTTCAATTTAAGGTTCAGGAAAATAAAAAATCCTGTTTAATAAAAATAATAATAAAAAAATTTCAAATTTTAAGCAATTTTTGCGCAAGTGAGAAATTTGCGGATATTAGTAAAAAAGGTGAAAATTTCGCGGAAATTTGTGCCGCAAAAGACCTGCAGCCTAATGATTTTCAAATTTTAGTAATCACTTTTCCACGCTCTCAATTCCATTATAATCCAACCTTAATATTAGATTGCTTTTTCGGCAGTAAATACAATTACTTATACTTTCTTTCTCATTCATTTCGACATTTTTAAAATACCGATATGTTTAATAAGTTATTATTACGATGTGCAATTGGAGATTTACACATAATTTAAAACTAATCAATAGAATCTGCAAATTTAACTGAGGAATTATTTTACCTTTAAAAAAAAAAAAGTTTTTTTTTTTTAATGGTAAACTTATATTTGTGATCAAATATATGTGAAAAATGCCCCTTTCAGGGGGAAATAGTGTTCTTTCAGCGTCTGCCCTTCTTAAGATCTAGAATGAACACTGTAAATGAGTTATTTCTTATTTATCGAAATTTACTATTTATTGTCATGCATATCATATAGTATGAATTAACTAAAACTACAATTAAAACAGTAAATATTACTTTTTATTGGTTTAAGAATGAAGCAAACAGTTCTGCTTGAGAGTTAATCTAGCTTAACCAAAACAGCTACTTACTTGAGTACTGTAAAAATCACCGATAATATGGACGGGGGTTTCATCTGCTTCAGTATTATTTTCACTTTCTTCGGGTAACTTAATTATGGCATGAGTCTGTCTTTGCAATTCTCTAACCTATAATTAAGACAAAACTATTATAATCAAAATGTTCATTTATAACTGAAAAATAAGGGGAGACATTAAAACATGTTAAAAAACACTACAGATCAACCCAATACTTCTATAGAAATTCAGTCAACAATTGAATTGCTGAGATGACAAAAAAAAAAAAAAANGCTTAACGCGCAGAGATGACAAAAAAAAAAAAAATTCAAATAAGAATAGAATAAAGTGATAAATCTCTCAGATAAGAAATTTTCATCCCACATGACTCAAAAGTGAACATTTTTTTGACGAAGGAAGAAAATTATTTCATTCAAGACCTTCATAAGTAACGTAGGTTTCTGTAGTGTAACATATAACAAAAATTTTTCAGTACAATTATTTTCATGCAACAATAAATTTTTTAGTTTTCATAGGCAAAAAATGAAATGTAAAACAATTTGAACTACTTTTATCTTTTTCATTATTTTCGGAGTAATGGCAAAATCAAGATTTTAAGTATGAATGAGGAATAATTACCGGATGGAATAATTTCAAAGTATTGTATGTTTTCGATATGATATTTAAAAGATTTTAAAGTTATTAAATAATACAAGAGTGACTGAATTTAACAACTTTGTTCAAACTTAGTAAAACAAAACAATCGTCTAAACCATTGACTGCAATAGAAAGCAATTCTTCATATTTTTAGATTATAAAAACTAGGAATTTTTATTTTAAACACAGCTTGTGCAAAATTTAAAGCATAGGAAGAAAGTCTTAGTCACTCAGTCAGAAAAGGGTCTCTTAATCAGGGACATTTTGTGAAAGGTTCTGTTTTTGTAACATTGTGAAAAAATTACTCGTAATTTCTGAATATAAAATAAGCGTTAAGTCACATTATTTCAACCCGAGTCCTGTTTCGTGAATTTGTGCAAATAGGGTCTTGCTATTGGAAAAAACTTTTTCAAGGAGTTTTTAAATTGTAAAAGGATACAAGATTATGCTCAACACTGTAAAATTATAATAAAAAATTTAAAATTTCAAAAATAAACAGCTATTGCTGCTACTAAATTAGAGATGCAACATACAAATCTTTGGGATTTAGCCTATACTGCTGAATGCAGAATATTCATGTCATTTCGGATGAATAATGGAAACAAAATCATTCACATTTTTATTAATTGCAATTGACATATTTTAAATAACACAACTTAGTTATGTATCACTTCTAAAGCGTTACGCATTAAGTAAACTTAAAAAAATTTTAAATTCATATTAGTTTTTTTTTTTTAACAAAAATTGACTTAAGTTGGAAATAATACAAGCACTTACATTACATAGGCATGTACATTAAAAAATATGTATATAAATCGTAATCTAAAGAAGATTTTTTAAAATCATTATTAATAATTACTTAAACTATTAGCACTACACATACTGCAGCAGTACTGGCAATAGCAGAGTTGTTGAGGAATAAAAGAAGTATTTTTTGTCATCTGTGGATATTTAATCCACTTTTTTTTAAAAAAAAATTTCTTCAACAAATAAAGAGAAATTTGAGAACGTACAGGCAATAATAGTCTTAAAATACAGGTGTCTTTGTTAAAAAACAGGAGACTTAGCAGGTATGAGATGGGGAACAAAAAAGAAATTCCTTTGTTCTAATAGTAATTCAGCTATAATTATTCATTCTGCTAAGGAAAAGATTAAGAGGCAGTGCCATTTTTATCTTTCTCATCCAAAAAATGCTTTGGTTTCTTTTTGAACTACTAACTTTGACATAGAGAAATGAAATTTTTTTTTTAAAGTGATTCTTAAAAAATTTATAAAATTCTTTTTAAAAAGGGTCCTTATCAAAATAGTGAGTTCTGAACCCTTAAACAATCAGAAATATCAGAATAACTGCTATCTCGGAGTAAGATTTAAACAAATAACTAATTTTTTCGAAACTTTTATAAATCCAATGACTGAATCAGACATTTGTTTGCTGGATTAAGATACTATCTGAAAATATCTAGACAGTTTATGGTAAGAAAGTTTTGATTTCAAACAACTGTACTGCTTTATTACACAATGCTAAATTTTTATAAATTTTATTACAAGTCAGATTATTCTTGTTTGATTATATATAAAATATTACATAGTGGACCAGATATTTAATTTTATTTGCCTGCGGAACCCTAAAAGATCATCCTTTGCTGTGAGCTCAGATTTTATAAATTAAGTTCATCAGCAGCTCTGAATATACAAACCAAAAAGACTAATTATCAAAATTACTAAAAACTACTACTACTAAAAGAAAATTGTAAATTTATTATCTAATAAAAGAGAATTTCAATTACAAAATATTTAATAAGAGGAATGAAATCTTGTTTTATCAATAATAATCTAAAGTTCTGCGTCTGACAGTTGAATTTGTTTTTGGTCCATCAAGCTGAAAAGGAATTAAACGAGCCAAATTATAGCTTTTACATCTTAAAGAAAACAAAAAAGTACTTGTATATATGTTGAAAATGGTTACTAGGGAGACACTTTCTTTACAAACCAAATAAGTTAATTCATTTTGATTTGAGGTTCATAATGGAAAATGCTAATAATTTTTTTATAAATAATGCATGTACCTTCATTAACTTATTCAATACATTGTTTCTTTTCCATTGGAAATTTAAATAATTTTTTAAAGACACCCTGAGATATATGATCTTAATTATAGGTTTCAAAAATTGTAATTTGTAGTAGACTATCATATTTAAACTTAAGTGTAAGAAATAACATCTACAAAAGGAGAAAGAAAAGATTTTGAATTTAACATACTAAATAAATAAATCATAGACATTAGATGTGTTAATAAAAGATATGCTGAGAAAATATGTGAGAGTCAATATTCATAATGAATATTCATAGCTGCCAACACAGATAGAGAAATCCAGTAGATTTTACAAAATATAAATTTCATGATAATTATTGCAAAATATACTAAATATTTTACAAATAGGGAATTTTAGGGATTTTTATAGTCATCACAATATTTTCCAGTTATGATTTCACATTAAATGATCTCGAAATGTTATGCATTATGTTTATTCATAATTTTGAATAGTAATAGGAATTTAATTCAAAGATAGTTAACTAAATTTTGTAAATAAGGCTCGCTTTATTATGAATTAGTGACACTTATTTAAATATTCAAGGAAGCAATAATCTCAATAGGGATTTTTGTTAAGGAAACTTACTGAATGTTAATGAACTTTCTAATATGCATAAAAACCAGGAAGATTTTTATTAAACCACTAGACCAGGAGAAACTGGCAAAATGAAGTAGCCTATTGGAATTTTTATGATTGATAATTAGCTATGAATATTTATGAGAACGATGGGACCATCATGATTAAGTATGAGGTGAATAAGAAGAATCAGAAATATTTTAAAATCTGGAAATATATCAGAAAAAGGAGCAGAAGTGTGGCATATTAAACATCAACTCACTAGTACCTTGAGGTATCTTTTGCCGGATAAAGGTTGGCATTGTCCACACAAGGGTAACTTAAAATCAAATGACTGACTTTGTCTAAAATACATGTTAGACAACTTATAACTGTCATTTTAATTGTTAAAAAATATTAGATTCATTACTTTATCTTTCACTAGAGCTTCTTGTATTTTAAAACTTACCAAAACAAACTTTTTACTATGCGAAGAGCATTAATTTATATTACTCGAATTTCAACACATACAGTAAGACCCCGCTTAACGCGCAGGTAGAGCGTAATGCGAAAAACAGCGCTAAACAAGGTTATCTTAACATGTAAATAATGGGGTTAGGGAAAGATGGATAGAAAATTGGTTAGGTATTAAATTTAATAATTATGTCTATTCTATTTTCTATTTATGTCTATTCTATTCTATATAAGTCTATTCTCTATTATATTCAGTCTATTTTGAGTTTCCAATTTTCTGCCTTTTTGTCAAGAAGGCATCTAATGTAGTTTGTGTTTTCCTTTTGCGTTCTGTTAGAAGTTGTTGATAAGTGGATAAAGCATCTATAACACTCCATCTTACTTTTGAACTCCTGTCAAAATTTAGATCATTTCCAACAAATTGGTCCATAATTTCAGTTATAGTGGTCAAACTCCTTTTTCCAAACGATATCGAAAGTTATTTCTGCTCTTCTTCGAAATCACTACAATCAATATTTTTGCTTTCTTCTTGTTCAGTTAATTCCTTGAGCTCATTATTAGAAAGACTAGCTGCAGTTTCTTGAATTATTTCTTTGACGTCTTCCACATTTACCTCATTTAAACCGGTTTGTTTTGCTAATTCCATTACTTCATCCATATCGACAGAGTGTCCAATGTCTTAGCTCTAACTTAAAACTGGCCAAATGTTCATCCATACTTCTTTCAAAGATCTTTCTCTTATCCATGGGTGCAAGTTGGAAAAAAGGCCAAGACTGAAAATTTTTTGACTGAAATACCTAACATACACAATACCCCCTCGACATAAGCAAACTATCTAAGAAAGCTTTACCATAATACATCAAGTTTAAATACTGTACAAAAAATATTTATTCATCTGTCTTTTGATAAAATAACAACAGGACATAAGAAAGTAGACCAATAACGTAGACCTAAAAAATATTTTTAAGGACAGAAGAAAAAAAAATTCCGATTTCCGTCTTCGAGTCAGTCTTGTTTCCGTCTTACTTCCGTCTGTGGACATTTTCGAAAGACGGAAATCCGTCCTGGGGACGGAAGACTTGCACCCATG